GTATATATAGCTTTAGGATAGAATTACTTGTGCCTCCGTAGCACTCGGCAATTAGCTTCTGTTATGTCTCTTTGTCTTTTTTTGGGCTATTTAGGGGCTAGAGAACCAGAGGTAAGATTAAGGGGCTGTGATTCGGTAAGATCGAGAGCCTGAGAGATACTGGAGGGCCCTGGAGTATTAATAAATTAATCTATTTTCAGGCTAAAATAGAATAATATACTACTAAAAATTAAGGGTTAGGACCGAAAAACCTTATAATAATCGTAATACCAAGGATATTATAAGCCTAAGGCTAAAAAAGTACAGGACCCTATAGCTATATTATATTACTAAGGATATTACTATATCGGGAATTACTATAGCAAGGTTCTGCTATATAATATTTCTTATTCTATTACCTTTACTTTTTTTTCTTTATAATTAGCTTTTATTTTTATTATTTCTATATATTATACTAGTAATTATATCTTATAGCTAACTTATATTCAAGTTACTAGATATATTAGAAGTTAATATAAAATACTAAAATTAATACTTATATGTTTTTAATATTTTAGCCTTAGATTTAAGATATTATAATAGTTCTTTTTTCCCTAAACTTACTAAGCTAATAATCTGCCTTATAGAAATCCCTTAAAACTTTATAAAAGTATTATTTTAATTATAAAGTTTTAATTTCTTTATATTATTTATTATAAAATATATAAAAAGGAAACTATAATAAAATAAAAACCTATATAAAGTATATTAGAATATAAAACGTGATTTAATAGTAAAATAATAAGATTAAAGATATAAATAATAAAGTATAAATAGTATATAATATATAAAAGTTTAATTAATTAAATATAAAAAATAAATTATTATTTGAAACTATAAAAAAGATAGCTTTTTTATATAATTTCTATAAGTTATATATAAAAGGCCCTAGCCTTTATTATATAACTAAAATATTAAAACTATTAAAATAAAGCAATTTTAATAAAATATAGCTTATTATATTATATTAGCTAATATAAATAAGCTAGAAATCTATTTTAATAATTTTACTAATTATTTTATTACTTTTATTAAATATTATATACTTATAATATAATATTTTAGATACTTTTATTTTATTTTAGAATATTATATTATAAAGTTTATTTCCGAATTATTTATTTATAATCTTTACTTTTTTATAAAAATCGAATTATAATATTTATATTATTATTTTAGTTATTTATTTATTAGTAAACTTCGAAATATACTAGAATAAACAGGCTATAATATTAATATAAAAGCCCTTAAATATTATAATTTCCAGATATCCGATATCTGAGATATCTCGCCAGATACTAGATACTTCCTAGATATATATAATACGGCCGCCTTACTAGAGAAATATACTTGAAATATACTAGAGATATTTAGAAAGCTAAGCTTATTCGGAACTAGCATACTATAGGGTATATATACTTCCTTATAGCCTCCTATATTCTAGTTTTCCCTTCCTTAGCTTTAAATCATCTTTATAAGAGACCTTCTATCTTGCTTTCCAAGCCCTAAATACTATACCTATAATAGTATTTAAAGCTTACTTCCTTTAATTCTATAGAGGATTTCAAATAAACTAATTCAGAACTATTAGTAATATAGGTACTACTAAGATAATGAAACCTCAGAAATATAAGTAATAGACTTCAGAATAATAAAAGCAAAAAGCTTTAGAACCCTTAAAGAAATTAGATATTTATATCTTTATAAATATATACTAGTAATATATTAGAAACCTTTCCCGAAAATCCGAAAATCAAAGAACCTCAAATAAAGGCTATTCTTTAACCAAGTCCTAGAGTAAGAGGCACCTATAGGCCAGTAACCTAACTACTACTCTCAAGCCCTATCCTATAACCTTATAGGCCCTATATATATACCGGTAATAAGACTACTAGAGAGAATATAGTAGAGGAAAAGTATAATAAGTCAATTTCCCAGAATACCATATAACTAGAAACCATATTAACTTCTGCCAAGGCTTTCGGTAAAGCTCCTGCTAGTTTAGGTCGTCCCATTAGTAGTCCTTCCCGAACCGAATGTCCCGTTAGTATTCCTGGAGAATTTATAAACAAGTCTATAGAAATAGAACCCTCTGCTTTTATTATAAAGCTTCTAGAGACCAAAGACTATATTATTACTAGAGAGTTATATAAATAGGCTAAGAAACCTAATATCTTACTTTTAGATATTAATATTATTATAAAAAGCTATTGGGAAAATATCTAAAAAGCCATTTTATATAAGAATACCTATAATTATAATAAAGCTATTTTCGAAAATACTAAGCTCTATAATACTAAGTTTAAAAACAATATTAAATACTATATAGCTATAATAGATTAGCTTATAATAGCTCTAACTACTTCTATTTTACCTATTCCGGCTATTTTAAACTTCTTTTAAAAGAATTCCGAATTATCTTTTACTTATTTCTATCTAGAATCTCCTATATCTTATATTTCTTTTAGAGATACTAGAATTACTAAACTTCTAGATCTAACTCTCTTTACTAGAGATTATATTATCTTTAATAACTAGCTAATTTAGATTAAGAATAAGCTATAAGAAAATACTAATTTATATTTCTTAGAGAATCTTAAAATTATTTATATTTCTAGTAAACTTATTAGTAATACTCATATTCTAACTAATTCTTATATAAATAAAAATAGTTCGAATTAGTATTATTAGCTTTTAAAGTTCTATTCTTATCTAAAGAAATTATACTCTAATTCTAATAAGATATAAAATACTTGCTATAATTTTAGTAAGCTTTAAATATACTCTAGTTAAGTATTTTAGGAGTTCTATACTTTTTTCTTATAATTATTTATAGAAGATAGTATTAATCTTTAAGATATTAAGTATAAACTAAATAAGAAGCTTTTATTAAAGCTCCAGAAATTAGTATATATATACTATAATAATTCTTCTATTAATACTACTTGCTTTATTTAGTACTATATTACTAATAATTAGTAAATTAAGGCTATATATAAGAAAACTAAGAAATATAAGAAAATAGAAGCTATTCTAGCCAAGTTTACTTCTAGTACTATATTCCCATATATTTCTAAGAAATATATTTCTAAGAAGAAGTTCAAGGAGCCTATATTAACTACTTTTATTAAATATATACTTCCTTATAAATATAAGTAATATTTTATAAAGACTAAGGATCTCTTAATTATTAAGTACTTTAACTATAATAAGTTTGGCTACTATATTAGATACTATCCGGTTTTATATAATAAGGAAACTAAGGTAGCTCTTTCTAGAATTAAGCCGGGCTTAGTTTCTATTTTACTAGAATATACTATTTTAGTAAAGTATTTAGAGAATTTGAGCTCTAATTCTAGTATCGAACCGGGAAATAAGTATTCCTAAAGAAAGTCTCTATTTTAGAAGCTTATAGTATGAATTTAGTAAAGATTAACTTGATTTATCTAATAGGAGGAAATACTCTTATAATATCCTATATTATTAGTATAAATAAATTAGGAATTAAGTCTTTTTCCCTTATTAATACTAGAGCTAATAGTTATACTTTTATTAATATAAAGCTTATTTAGCTTATAAAATAATTCTTAGGAATAGAACTATAACCTTTTCTCTTATCCTATATTATATATAGTTTTAATAGAAAGCTAGCTAAGTTTACTAAGAAATATATAGAAGTTTTATTTCTAATTAATAAATAAAATATTAATATATCTATAATTATCCTAAATCTTAGAAATTATAATATTATTCTTAGTAGAAAATAGGTAATATATATTAATATTCTAGTTAATTATAGAAGATATAGGCTTATATAGCCAAAGAATAAGCCTAAATCTATATAATTCGATTATATTATTAGTACTTTATAGTAATAGCTAGAGAAGTAACCTAATAAGAAGTATTAAAAGAATACTAATTAATAAGATTCTATTATAAACTATTTCTAGAAATCTTCTATTCTAAAGTAATTTTCCTCTTTTTGAACTAATTAGAGGAAATTATATAAGACTATAGAAAAGGAGTTTCTATAGCCTAATTAAGATATAATACCTAAGTAAAAGCCAAAGAAGCGAGAAGAGGTCCTTAATAAAAAGTAAATATTAGACCTAGCTATTCTTACCTTTATAGTATTTAACTATATAGCCAAGAAAGAAAATAATATTATTAGTTAAATCTCTATTTATAAGATTAATAAGAAGCTTAAAATTCGGAAAAAAGAAGCTATCCCTAGCTCAGAAAATTAATAACCGGGAGAAATAGAGCTTTAATAATTATAGAAAATATTATTTCCGGAACTCAAGAAATATACTTCTGTTTTCTCTAAGAAAGAATCTAATATTCTTTCTTTCTATAAACTATATAATTATAAGATTTAGATTAAAGGCCTAAAAGAAATCGAGAATATTAGATATTAATTCCTCTAGTAATAGTTTATTTAAGAGCTTCTAGAAATCAAGTATTTCTTAGAAGATAATCTAGCTAAGCGCTTTATTAAAGCTAGTTAGGCTCTTTTTACTTTACTAGTTCTTTTTATAAAAAAAGTAAATAGAGGTTTATATTTCTATATTAATTTCTGCTATCTAAATAATATTACTCAGAAGAATTAATATCTTTTTCTATTTATTAATAAGACTTTAAGTTAATTATCTAAGGCCAAGATCTATACTAAATTAGATATCTATTAAGCTTTCTATTATATAGCTATAGACCCGGACTCTTAGAAGCTAATAATATTTCATACCTACTATAGAGTATATAAATATAATATTCTCTAGAAAGGCCTTATAAATAGCCCGGCTATATATTAATACTATATAAATAATATATTCTTTAAATATCTAAATAACTTTTATATAATATATCTTAATAATATTTTTATTTATTTAGAGAACCTAATAAAGTACGAATAGTATATATGAAAAATACTAGACTATTTATACCTTACCGGCTTTTAAGTAAATATTAAAAAATCGGAATTTAAAGTTATATATATAAAATACTTAGGCTTTATTATTTCTATATCTGGTATTAAAGTAAATCCTAATAAAGTCAAAGTAATATATAACTAATAACCCCTAAAAACAGTTAAGGGTATATAGTTCTTTCTTGGCTTCTATAACTTTTATAAATACTTTATTAAAAAATATAAACGGATTATTAAATCTTTTATCTTATTTATAAAAAAAAGAATTTCCTTTAAGTAGTCCGAGTAATATTAAAAGGCTTTTACTTGCCTAAAGAAAGCTATAATTTCTATTCTAATTCTATAATACTATAATCTAGATCTGCCTATAATAATAGAAATAAATATATTTAAAGAAATAGTTACTAGCCTATTCTCTTAATAAGATTCAGAAACAGGCCTTTAGTATTCTATAGCTTATTTTTCTAAAATTATATTTCTAGTAAAACTTAATTATAATATATATAATAAGAAAATACTTGCTATAGTACAAGTACTAGAGGAATAGAAAACTAAACTAGAGAGCCTTTAGAATACTTCCTTTAAGGTCTATTCTAATTACCGTATCTTAGAGTACTTTATAACTATTAAGAAGCTCTTTTTTTAATAAGCTAAATAGGCTAAGCTCTTATTCTACTATTACTTTAAGCTTATATATTATTCTGGAAAATTAAATAAGTAAATAGATACTTTATTATAAAGATAGAATAAAGTAAATACTTAGGGCCAGATTAAGGAAAAGCTATAAACCCAAGTACTTCTCTTAAAAGATAAGATTAATCCGGAAATTATTTATAACTTGTAGCTTATAGTAATACTTTATAAAGTCGGCTTACTTAATCCGGAATTCGGCCCTAAAAACCAAGTATATACTAAAGACTTTCCGGAAAAGAATACTTCTATTAAAAGTATAATTTCCCTAGAAAAAGATATTTTCTTAGAAGCCTTACTAGTAAACTCTGCTATAGTAGCTTCTATAGAAGTATTATTAGAAGCTCCCGCCGAGTATAATAGTTTATAACTTATAAATAAGATCCTATAAGATAATTATATATTACCGGATCTAGAAAAGCTATATATAATAGCCCAAGCCAAAAGTAATATCTAGATACTATAAGACGGCCTTCTTTTATACTATAAAAAACTCTATATTATAAAGAACAAAATAATTCCCGGACTACTTTTATAAATTGCCCTAATTCGTAAAGTATATAATAAATCCCTTTCTGGATATCCTAAATATATAAAGCTTTATTAGCTATTAAAGAAATAATATTACTAGCTATCTATAGATAAGAATATTAATTAATACTATAGTAATTACTATACTTATAAGAAATTATATATATCTAGAGATAAGAAGTCTAGTTTGTTTTATTTCCTTTTAGTTTCTAATTACCTCTAGTAATATATTACTATAAATTTTAAGAGCTATCTAGAAAGCAAATCGAGCTATAATATAATTACTATATTTATGAATTACTTATCCAAGTACCTAATTATAATTCTAGTATGAGATATAATTATAGTTAAGTAGCTAGTACTTCTGTTTTTATTCTATATAGTATATTAAGTAAGTATTCCAGAAATAATTATATTAGATTAGGGACCCTAATTTATATTTAATTTTTAAAGCGAATTCTATATAAGAATTAGTATAAAGCTTAAGCTTTCTATAACTAATTACTCCCGAATAAACGAATAAATAGAAATTATTAATTAGTACTTTAATTAGAGATTATATTTATATATTAACTATTACTAGAATAACTAGGATAAATAGGTTATTATAATTAATTATTAATAAGCCTTTCTTTAGTATAAAACTATTAGCTAGTCCCCGTTTATAACTAAAAAGGGCTATAAGTCTTATATTTCTCTGGACTAGAACTTCCCTATTAAAGCTAACTTACCTAAAGAGAAGCTAAATAGAAATAAAGCTAAAGTATTAGTAAATTAATTATATAAATTATAATAACTTACCTAAGGCTATATAGAATAAATATAGGAATAATATATAATATAAGCTAATAAGTACTACTATTTAATTAATTTCAAAGTCGGAAATAAAAGATAGGTTACTATAAAATACTAGAAATCCGATTATTTAAGCCAGAAGCTAGGGAACCAAATAGAAGGCCTATTTGAAATTCTAGAATAGTATAGCTACTCGTTTCTCCTAAAACTACCGGAAACTATAAAGATATATCTAGTTTTTTATATAAAGAAGCTATAAAAAGATCCCCAGAATTCTTTACTAAATTAAGCAAACCCGGAACTACCTCTATTAATACTAGAGAATAATAAATAAGAGTATAATATTAAACGGGTTATTATAGTTAAGCTAGTAAGAAATAGGCTAAAGTATAGAATTTAGTAGATTAGTTAGGATAAAGATCTAGTATAATATCTAGCTTTGGTACTAAATAATAGCTCCCTGGTTTTATAGAGTTTCTATAATAATAATATTAATATACCAGGACCTCTATAAAACCTATAATACTAGCTAGACTATATAAAAAACAATACTTGTCCAGAATTATACGGAAATAATAATAAACCCTTCTAGGTTATATAGTAAAGGCACTAGTTTTTCATATATAATATCTATATCCGAGATACTAGTTTTATTTTAGGAAGAAGCATAATACGAAATTAGATAAATTAATAGCTTTTACAAAGCTCGGAGATAAGCTTATTATAAAGAGAAGAGTAATATTATGATTTCCAGATACCTCCTAGGCGCACGTAACGCAGCTGCCTTGCTAGGGAAATATGCTTGGAATATACTAGAGATATTTAGAAGGCTAAGCCCCTTCGGGACTAGTATATTATAGGGTATATATACTTCCTTACAGCCTCCTATATTCTAGTTTTCCCTTCCTTAGCTTTAAATCATCTTTATAAAGGACTTTCTACCTTGCTTTCCAAGCCCTAAATACCGTATTTATAATATTAAATACTAGAAATAATACTAGAAATTCAGATAATTACCGGAATAATTTAAGTTTAATCTAAAAAATAATATTAGCTTTAATTATTCTATTATTATTATTATTATTATTTATATTTCTAATAAGCCTATATTTTATATTATTAATAAAAATACTCGATATTAAACTGGCTAATAGTTTTAAAATAGTAGTACTTTATATATTTGAGATATCCTAAAGTAATATTAAATTAATATTTATTTAGGTTCTTTTAATTAAATTATAGCAAATACCAGAAAGTAGTTTATTAATAGAAAATTTATTTAATTTATAAATATTATAAAAACCAAAATTAAAATCATTTTTATAAAAGCTTATAATTTTATTCAAATTATAGAATATTATTATAGCCTAATTTAATATATTTATTTTATTATTATAGCCGAAATTAATAGAATTAATAAAAATATTATATTTCAAATAGCTTTTAAGACTATTAATAATTCTATAAAATCTAATAGTATTATTTTAATTCTTTTAATTTATAGTATTTATAAGGTATTTATTAGTAAGTAATAAAATAATAGAATAAATTAGTGAGTTATGAAATTATAGTATTAAATTTAGTATAGAACTAATCTCTATTTCTTCTATAAGATTCAGAGAAGCCTTCTCTAAATAAAAGGCCCTAATAATATATATATAATTAGTAATTTATAAGCCTAATATATATAATATAAATAGTAATTAGCTATAATATTAAAGGGCCGCCGATCTCTCTAATTAATACCTGTAATATCCGAGGTTTATTATATGTTCTTAAGTTATATATAATCCTATATATATTATAACTATACTCTTCTTCTAGGATCTTGTCTCCAAGATTCATTAATCTATTCTAGTAAAATATTTATTTAATTATTTATTTAATTCGAGATAAACTTCTAGTATCTTGGGAAATAGTTTTACTAATATAATCTGGGTAATAGATATAAAAATTATCTAATTAGATTAGGGCTAAGTAAGCGAGAAAAAAGAGTAATTATATCCCAGATATAAGGGCTAGCTAGTAATTATGATTTCGTTTAGGATCTAAGTATTCTAATTAGCTTAATTTAAAGTACTAAGGCGCTATTCTATAAAATTAATACTACTTATTAGATCTCGTATTAGAATAATTAGAATAGCTATATAGAAAGAATTTAATAAAATATTCATATGAGAAACCTATATAAATATTTCTGAGGTCCTAGATATTATTTATAGGCTTCTGGGAGCATGTATTAATTAGTTATACTAATTTCTAATTAGGACTAATATAAAAACTAGTAATTAATTCAGGTGGTTTTTTACTTCTATAAAAGAACCTCTTTATATTACTATATACTTTCTTTCTTTCTAATAACTATATATATATAACTTTTATTATTATTACCTTCTAGCCTCTTTTTTTATTCTTTTCTAAGTTTTCTTTAATTATTTTTAATTAATTCCATAATATCTTTTTCTAGCTTTATTATCTGCCTATATAATAATAAATATAAAGGTAACCTTATAGTCTTCTTTCCTATTACTAGTAAATACTTGAAATATTTTAAGTATTTGCTTATTAATTCCTTTACCTTATATACTATAATATCTGGCAAGAAGAATTATAACTATTATAATAAGGGTTCTAAGTCTTATATATTAGTAAGTTCTTTAGCTTTAATATCTATTAAAGCTAATATAATTTCAGATTTCTTGCTATTTATTAGAGGCTTGCCGGTTCTAGGAAAATACTATTATAACTTTTAAGAAATTTCTTGAAGCATATCCTAAATAGTATTATACTAATGAGAATAATACTATTAATTAGGTTTTTAAAGACTAGAAGAATACTAATAAGCTTTAGAATTCTTCTTTCTATCTTAATAAGGCAGATAATAATACTACTTGGGTTAATATCCTAAAAGTGAGTTTTTTCTTTAAAGTATTAATCTTATTACCGAGCTTATTACCGAGATTACTAAATAGTTTATTACTAGTACTTTAAGCGCTAATAATATAATACTTATAATTATTCGGGACCTGATTTTAGAAGTTCGGGCCTTTTATAAGGTATATATAGCTATTATAAGTTTCTTACTTACTTTTCTTAATATTCTTAATACTAATATTATTATAGTATAACTATATTCTATTAAAAAATAAGCGGATTCCGGAGAATATTAGCTAATTCTTTACTAAGTCTTAAATAGGACTAGTATTTAGTATTCTTACTTTAGAAATTAGGAATTTATAAGAATTAGAGTTTATTTATTTAAGA